AGTTTACAGATGAATTAGGTTTGGGAAGACAACTTTCACCTCACAATTGGGCACCACATTTGTTCTGGCTGTGACTTTCTCTCATTCTAATCGTCAGTCCTCATGGGGACAGAATTAAAAACAACTGACCCTTCCGTAGGTACGTCATTTATCTTCATTAAAATTAGGTCAGTATAGAATTCAGGACTCTTGGGTACCAGGGATCACTCATTCCACAAAGAACTCAAGTAGAAGGAATGGTCCACAATGAGATGCTGTAACAACACAGCAAGTCCCTGTGGACCACAGACATTGAGGCTGCCCCTCAGATTTACCCTCAGCATGGGGAACTGACAATTGAATTCTAAGTATTCAGGTGACAGTAAAAAAAATATATATGTGTATATATATATATATATACACACACACACACACACATACACACACACACACACACACACACACATATATATGAAAATACCATCCTTAGTTTTAAATTTTTTCAACCAAATATGTTGATGACTTTTTTAACATAATTTACCACATAGAATGCAGGTTCCCTGACTCTAGATCAAATACTCTCCCGACTCCAGCACTGAGCGGATATCAATTTCCAAATGCTGTAGTAGAGCTTAGCTGCAGGTGAGAGTAACCTGCAGATGGGAGAAAACAGAATGTCCTGTTCCAGCAGAGTGCTCTGATGTGATGTCATCAGCTCCGCCTGTGTACTGTCATGAAGATCAGCACTAGGTCATGATTTCATCACTTACACAGCATTTGTTAAGAATTTTTTCCATTATGAGGAAACCCACGGAGTAACTCCAGAATGAGGAGGGGTGGTGTGATTCATCTTTAAATTAAATTAATATTTTAGTCCTCATGTAAAACTTAAACTCTAAATCTTTTGAATCTCCCATATGAAGGATGTTTGAACAGTTGTGAATGGATTTTTTTAGAAACTTTGTTATTAAATTCTGCAAGTCATTTTGGGACTCTTTTGAAATGAGTTTTCTACGGTCTCTTGGTCTTTAGTTAAACTTATATTTCTAACATCCTGTCATATGTGAGAATCTTGAACAGCCACTGAGAGAGAAGTGATGCAAGACTGGGCCGTTGGTGCTATCTGTAGTCTTGTCGATTCATTTTTAAAAGAGAAATCAATGGCAAATAAGATAAAATTTTAATATATGCTTAAAGTCACTGAAGGGCATGTAAATGTTGACTATATTATTTTATGGCCTAAGTGCCTAATTTATAGACTTTTCCAACATCAAGACTGTCCTCATTTGTGCTGATTCTGATATCCACATAAAAGTTCATAATTTCTCCATCTTCTAAACATGCCTTCCTTTACCCTAGTCATCCACCCGTGATCTAACCATCCAGTCCTGCATTTTATCATCACTCAACATTGGTGTGACCTCCAAAGTCTCAGTTTCAAGTTCCCCCTGTCTGACCCTCACCTCTGATCTGCAGATAGGTTTTCCCTAGAGCCTCATCTCCAATGATCAATCCACTCCATCCACATTGGGTCCAGTCTCTTCACCTCCATGGCTCACTGACCATCACTGCCTCACCTCCATCCTGGCCACCTTCAGATTCCAGAACCTACCATACAATCACTACCTTGCACACACATCCTACCCCCTTGCTACAGTCCTCATTGCCAATTTACCAAACAAAACCCCATCTGGTTAAATCCATCTGTCACTCACTCCACACCTGTTCTTAGGACTCAATGTGGCTGATATGTGCCAACTTCCTTATATCTGGCGAGAAGAAGCAATTTATACACGTTAAGAAATGAATGTTAATGTGGAAACAAATATTTACAGTTCAAAACTATAATCTTGACTATTAAATGATTTAAGGACAAACCCTTAACAAGTTGTTGCAAGAAGCTTCAGACAACCGTCACTTACAGGAAGGAGGACAGAATGAGGTGGTCACGGACAGAGGTTGAGAAGTAGGAGGAGAGTCAGACCACATGTTGAGAAACATCACGTGACGACAAACGTGATGCAACTGGACTCAACACGCTCACAGGGAAGTCTCTGCACAGAAAACCACAGGGCTGTCCAGCATCTTGAGAGGACAGACAGCACCTAAGTTCCCTTCGGCTCCTGAAGGCACATCTCAGGGCAGAAAGTATCCTTTATCAACTGACCATCCCAGGAGGCTGCTCCCATCGACACAGGCCGGCTTGCCACATCCAGCAAGAGAATGGAGGAAAGGTAAGACTTTATCAAGATCTTATTTCTATAAAGTTGCTGCTGTGTCTTTCCTCTCAGTCCACAATGGGGTGGAGCATTCAGAGAGCACTATGACCCACGGGAAGAGACACAGGAGATCTGTGTGATCTCCCTCCTGGTGACTTGGGTGCTCTCAGACTTGACAGTGGGGTATTCAAAGCTGCTAACCAAGACTGTTAATTAGGGTCCATCTTCATCCATTTAACCTTATGGCTTCTCTTGCAAACTTGTCCAACTGGTAACTCAAACAGTAGAACTTTCTGACCAGGGAATACACTGTGTGGTCCAGCCAGATCAGAGACAGTAATAGCGCACATTCTGTAGTTCAGCCTGATTGCAAATCTCAGCCAGTGGTCTTGCCACATAAGAGACAGTCTAATGCCCTGCCCAAATTCAGAGCAAAGGCAATAGCCCAGCCATCTAGGGAAATTGAAAGAATTCTCTGCCAGCCAAGGGTCATCAGAAACTGCCCTTCAAAATCATAGTCTAGGGCTGGAGTTGTGGCTCAGTGGTAGGGCACTTGCCTAACATACATGAGGCACTGGGTTCAATTCTCAGCACTGCATATAAATAAATGCATAAAATAAAGGTCCATTAACATCTAAAACATCTAAAAAAATTTTTTTTAAATATCATAGTCTATACCACATAGTGAAAGTCTATCTCTGCCACAGAACCAGTAAAGAACAAAATACAAAAAAGTCTCCACAAATATACAGACATCAAAATATAATACAAAGCTTACAAAGACTCAGTAGATCAGGACTAGCAAAGTCCAAAAGGGGAGGAAAAAACGAACCCTAAACAAAGGGAGATCTATGAAATGTCAGGGGGGAAAAATTCAGAACAGTCTTCTTTAGAAAGGTCAATGAACTTCAAGAACGTAAGGATAAAATAATCAAATGAGGTGTGGGAGCAGATTGATGATTAAGAAGTGATCATCTTCCCAGGGAGACATCAATTTCAACCGCTCTTCATTCACCAAAGTACCTTCACAAGAGTTAAGGAAGAGTCCTACTGCCTGAATTTAGCATAATAATAAGAAACATTGCACAAGAAGGAAACAGTTGCCAGTTGCCCAGATCAACTATGAGAAGCTCACTGTGGAGAGAGATGCCCACTACTTGAGGGAGGGGGAGGGAATTAAATCCAAGCCTTAGATTTGAAACCAAGTATCAGGCCCATCAGTGAAAGATGGTGCCAAGGAGAGCCACACAGCCCCGCCCCCAGGTCATTGTCCAAGAACTGACTCTCTGGATGTGCATTAGCCTGATGCCCAAAGGACTGTCTCCACCATTCATACTCCAACCTTAGATAGCATATCATAGAACAAGATTCTACCTGCAGGAGGTAGGGCAGGAAAGTAAGCACAGGACTTTGCCTTAATGTTCAGTGCCAGACACACTGCAGCGAGACCTAGCAGCAAGCAGAGTAAAAATGCCTTTCTCCCCCAAGCCAGTGTTTCTGCTCAGACACCAGCCGGAGACCTGTGCCCTAGAGAGACAGACTTGTTTTAATCTGCATCATCCCCAGCCTCCGTGTGGGCCCAGGGTACACTTCCAAGAATGTGCCAGACCTCGCAGCCGTGACACTTAGGTGTGATTCAGCTTAGTATGAGTCTTCCCACAAACTCAGGCTGCATGGATGGAGCAAAACTCTATCCACTGAGGTTTAAGACAGGGTGAAGCATAGTACTGTTCCTTGGAACAGTGTTGGGCCAGTGACACTTAATACTGGGAAGATTCTAATGGTAACTGATCCCAGGTCAGTGCCCATAGATAGGGCCTCTGGAACTGCCCCCATTGCCAGTAGAAAATTATGTGACCCCATTGATTGGAACTATGTCCTGGCCAGCATCACTATGGATGGTTGTAGGTGCCTCAGCCATGAGTTTACCACAGCAGCAGGCAGCCTATAGCAGCATGGGTCATGGTCGTAGCCGGTGCTATAGTGGTCTTTATGTGCTGTGGGCCCTAAATATGACACAGCATTGTGTGCCACAGGACTTCCCACTCCTTCCCTTCCCCGATCCCAAGCAATCAATACAGAGAGTGTAATTCTCTGTTTGAGGGAAGAAAAAAGAGTTAGATGCCAAGTTGTTTCATTGAAGCATAAGTCTAGTCCCTCTATGGTGAAGCCCAGGTCTGGCACAGCATGTCTGACCAAGTGCTAGTGACTGACAAGATATGTGTACCTACTGGGGCATCAGGTAGAGAAACTACACTTTTTGGACAGTCTCCTGGTTCATTTGAAGAACTCATCAATTGTGGATTTGGGATAAAATGGGACGTGAGGCACCCTCTAGTGGTGAGATATTGACAACATGTCAGCAACAAAATTACCACAAGTCTGAAGTTAGGGCGCCATCTAGTGGTGAAACTGTAGAAGAGACCACAGGCATAAAAAAAATAAGCAGCCTTCTTAGAATTTGTGGAAGGACAGGCACAAAGTCAGTTAACACTAGAATAAATACCCAGTCCTTCAATTGTCATATCATATAGTACATGAAGAAGAATCAAGAACTTTCAGGGATGAGTGTGGGTAGAGAGTGTGCTTAGCAATATGCAACTCCTCAAGTTTAATCTCCAGCACCAATAAAATACAAATCAGAAAACCATGCTTTCACCAAATGAATGAAGTAAGATTCCAGAAAGCGACCCTACAATAACCAACATGGGCTGGCTCATATATAAGAACAGAGGATTCAAAACAGCTGTTTTAAGAAACGTAAACAGCATGTGGGCTGCTGGAATGGGGTAGAGTGCAGCCATGTCAGAATGTGATCCTGAGATGGACGTGTTCTTCGTGATCTGGCACCACAAGATCACCATCTTCACGGCCCAGCCTTGGTGAAGCTGACCTTCTGGCAGAGGATGCCTTTGAGTCTCTGCACATGGAGCCCTTCTCTAGCCTGCAGTTTCCAGATGTGGTGAAGCCTCAGGATTCTGGAGGCAGTGCCAATGAATAAGCTGTGCAGTGAGGGCCCCAGGCCCATCCCAGAGGCCCCTTCCTTCAAATAAAGGAGATTTGTGTGCTTAAAAAAAAAATGAGCTTCTAGAAAACAGAGGAAAAATTCAGTGCTCTATCAGATAACAGAGAGGTTGGAGTAATTTTTTTAAACTTAAACAAATACTTAAGTAAAATTTAAACACAATAGATGGCACCATTGGAGTAGGTGGAACAGAACAAGAATTAATAAACTCAATGATTGTCTATTTGACAATATATAGTTGAAGGAGAAAAAATCAAAATTAATAAAGAGGAATAAAGAAAGCTTATGAGAAATTTGAGACAGCATTAAAAAAAATCATGTGGATTATTGGGACTAAAGAAGGACATGAGAATGTCAAAGAGTTAAAAAGCTCATTCAAACACATAATAACAGAAATCTTTACAAACCTAGAGATGGATACAAATATTCAAGTACAGTAAGGTCAAAGGTCACCAGTTAGATTCAGCTCAACAAAGTAACCCCAAGACATTATTACCAAGCTTCCAAGTTAAAGGAAAAGATAGGATTCTCAATGATCCAAGGGAAAAGAAACAACAAATAATGATGTTCTAGTTTGCCTTACAGAAGACTTCTAAGAAACATTACAGGCCAGGAAACAGTAAGATAATATTTTCATAGTTCCAAAGGGAAAAAAAAACTACCAACCAAGAATACATATCAAAGCTACCTTTTGGAAATGAAGAAGAGATAAAGGCATTCCCAGATCATCAAAAGCTGAGATAATTTATCACCACCAAATCTGCCCTGCAAGAAATATTTAAGAGAGTTCCTCACACTGAAAGGAAGGGATGCTAATGTATAAGAAGAAAATACTGGAAATTATGGACTCTCTGGTAAGAGTAATTATACAGACAAATTCAAAACATTGAATTTGAATACTATTATAAACATAGTGAGTAAACCATTCATATCTTTACCATAGAGACTAAAAACAAAATAATTTTTAAATAATTAAATTAATATAATAAGAGGTAGGCAATACAGAAAGATGTAAAATTGAACACAAAAAGTTTCAATAGGGGAAGGAATCTATCTAAAGGGTAAAATCCTTTTTAAAAATATTTTTTTAGGTGTAGATGGACACAACACAATGCCTTTATTTTTATGTGGTACTGAGGATCAAACCCAGGTCCTGCCTGTGCTAGGCGAACGCTCTACTGCTGAGCCACAATCCCAGCCCCAAGTGTAAAATCTTTAATGTCTTTATTAGTGTATTATTGTTATACATAATAAAATGGTTCATTTTGACATAATCATTCAAGAATTGAATATAATTTGCTCCACTTCAGTCCCTAGTACATCCCCTCCTCCCTCTCCCTGTTGTCTTTCCTCTACTCTACTGGTCTTCCTTCTATTTATTTATAGATTTTTCTTTAATTAGTGCTTTATAGATATACATAGAGGTGAAATTCACTATGGTATATT